GTACCAGGACAGGCTAAAATGCTCCTCTTCTTTCTGTTGTCCTTGCTCTGCCCACCCCGCCCCAACCCCCCGCATTCCTGAGAACATTTTGAATTAAATATACAAGTCTTCCTAATTTCCAAAAAACGTTAGAAATCCTGAGATAATCTCTCTACAGATGCATTTGATCTAGACATAGCTCCCCTTTCACTCCTGAGCAGTGAAAAAGCTGCCTGCCTCAACTCAAAACTGGCTGCATTCATGCCTCCAGGATCAGGACTCAGAGCAGGCTAGTGGTAGAACCTTAGACTCTCATTTGGGAGGTTTTGGAACAGGAGTTGAGGTCATCTGTTTAAAAAAATGCTCTGTAATTTGCCTGATTCTTGCCCAGATCTGATTCTTTCCTTTTCTAAGTGTCCATAATAGACCTTTATGCTTTGTTTTCTGTTTGAGCCTCCTCTTGCTCCCAGCCAGTGTTTCTCTTCCTCTGGCTGAGTGCCGCATAAATCTACAATTTCAGTGATTCCCTCCATTTCCTGGTCCTTGAAGTATCCTCAGACTATTGAGATTTTCTAAAGGCTTTCATTGCCAACACTAAAAGAAAAAAAAATAAATAAATAAAAGCCAACCAAAGCTTCATCCTGTGCCACCATGGGAACCAGGCCCTTCCATCCTGGCATTCAGTCCCTGCAGCAAAGGATAAAATCTTAAGAAACAGTATAAGGAGCTAGAAAATGAGAGGCTAGATGCTCCGGATGCATTGAAAGGACCAGGACATAGAACTGTAGTTTTATCGCTATCACTGGTACCAGTGTTGTATTTGAGGGAATAATTGTTACCTTAGTTGTGCTGGTTTGATGGAAGAGAAAGGGAATTAAGGACAGTGAAGGGAGTCAGTCACAGGCAACTGAAAGAAAAGGAAGAAAACCAAAGTGCAGATGGGAATACACTGGGTGATCCCTGGTAGCTTCATTGGCAAAATCTCAAGGTCTGCAGTGGCACACAAACTGACCACTGCTGCACATTTAGATGAGGACTCACGTAATAGTCAACATAGTGGTTGGTTATACCAAAAAGTGCTATTTATGACATTTTATTTCGAACTTTGCTCAGCAGAATTGAGTTCCTCATGGCGGGGGTGGGGGGTGTACACTGAAACAAATACATTCACTTTTCTATTTATTTTTCTTTTTTCTAGATGCATCGACTTAGGATTAAGTGCAGAAACTATTACTGGAGATTTTTAGGCCAGAAGTTCAGCTTCTCCACCTACACCATGAGGCCGATTATAGACCAGTAATGGTTTAAAAAACAAACAAACAAACAAAAAAAAAGCAATGAAAGGCTCTAGTATTACCAAGCCCATTTTAGGAATGCTGACATGAACTGTAGGTTCAGTAGCAGGCAAGAGATATGCATAATTACGTAATCCTTGTCAATGTGTGGTCCTACTAAGGTCCATGGTTCCCTCAGCTCCTGTTTCTCAAGGTGTTTCATTAAACTGCTAATCATTGCCATCACCTGTGGAAATCCTCTGGTTTCTGCACAGTGACTTCTTTAGTTCCAGGATGCTGTCTCACCATGGTGAAGAATTGCCTACACTTGGGTGGGTGTTGGTAGTGGAGAAGAGTGGAGTTGGGGGCTTAGGAACTTGGGGGTGTGGTATCTGTCTTAGAGATTTGTTCTTCTTGGAATTCAAGGTGACTAGGATTAAGACAATGACTTACCCATGTGACTTCAGCCTTAATTAAGAATGACATATATTAGAATAAGCAGACTCATGCAGGGATGTGACCTGATCCAGAATAAAGGCGACAGACACCAAATGAAGGCTGAGAGGCCAGGTGTTCATCTTTCACTTAGTTCCTTATGGGCCCAACTAAGATCTCAAAACTATAGTAAAAGCAGCTTCTGTGTGCTATCATGATAGGCTCTTCTACTGCCCTTGCATTCTTACAAGCTAAAAGCAAAAGAAACACAGTCCAACAGCTACACATCTGCAGTAACTTGAAGCGAAACAAGCAATATTCTGCTGCTCTTCTTTATGCCAACACATAGCCACCGTTCCTAGCATGAAGGAAACTCCAATTTCCTTCCCATTTGTGTGAGGGAAGCATGGTTTAAACAAATGAACAGGGAAATTTTTTTACAAGTTTCAATTTCTGACATTTATACAGCTAGGGAATACAAAAGCAAGATTTTTGTGACAGTAATAACAGTAAAGTTGATTATTTTGAGAACTGCTCATGTACCAGTATGATTAGATCTGCAAAAATAAAAAGCCAGAGTTTTTACACATAAGAGATTTGTTCTCATTTGATAAGGTCTACAGGTAAGGCCAGGTGGCTCGCTTTCTACTTCCCATTAAACCAAAATAAACTGCTATCCTTGTGCACTGCAGCTTGCCATAACTCAGGAACTCAGTTATTCTCTGCTGCTCAAACCCAACAGCATTTGTTTGCATAACAGTATACACACACTTACTGACGCTGGAAAGAAAAAAAAAAATTTTTTTTTCTTATAATTCAGCATCTACTGTCTCATGTAAGAACAAGCTAGAATGCTAGAGGAAGAAAAAATGCAGAGAGATGGATTGAGCACTATAACTTAGTGTGGCTGCTACATTGTGAAATAATGGATGGTCTAGCCTCAGGTCAACAAATTTTAACTATCATAGTAAGCACATGGACTCCAGAGTGTAGTATAGAAGGGAAGGAGAAGAGAGAAGGTTGGGATTTTATTTTCTTTTTTCCAGTTTTATTTTATTTTGTTTGTTTGTTCAGCATGTACACAGGCATGCATGAGTGAGTGTGTGTGTGTGTGTGTGTGTGTGTATGTTTCACTGTTATTAAATTTGAAAATTATATAGACTTAAGACAAGACTGATTAGCCATCTTTCTTCTGCATGCTTTAAGTGAAATTAATATATCCCCTTATATTTTGCCCTAATGTCTTAGCTCTTTGGAAAACCCAAATATTCTGAGACAAATTTTCTTAATATATACAGGTCAGGATTGCCTGTACATTGGGTCTGACTTGAATTTACACACCAGACTCCTCTCAGTTAAGCATATTTTCTCTCTCAGTAGGAATGGACAAAATCTAAATGCCAGGACAGGATACACATAAGCACCTTTGGGCCTTTTCCTCTCCTAACAGTAAAAGACAACGTCCTTTGTGGACGGAGCCAGTGACCCTAACATCAGTCACTACTGTGTGCTTTCTTCTTTTCCTTACAGCAATCCAATGATATCAGAATTTATCAGTGATATCAGATTCTCCTCAGAATTTAAAGTTCTATTTTATTTTATGAAGGCACTGAGAAATCATTGAAAAACACCTTAAATAGCAAGTAAGTTTCTGGAGGCACTAGCATATATCATAAACATTATAGTTATTTGTATATTTCCAATATAAAGCAGTAAAATAACATTTAAATATTTGTGCATACATCATGTGAGAATTCCTATTCATAAGTAATGAATTCAGTCGATTTATTTAATAAATTAAAAACAAAATATTTTAAAAACATAGCAAATGTTTGAATTTTTAAAAATGTTTCTTTCAAAATAAACTGTAGCAAATCAAGTATTGCCTGAAAATGTGGTCCAATTAATCAGTGAATGGGTGGCTCAATATTAAAATGTATTAACACACCGTGTATTTCAGTTTTTAGTTATATTATTCAAGCAACATTATGAATCTAAGTTCATTGATCATGTCATCCACTGGAAAAGAAACATTTAAACTTATAAGTGACACATTTACTCAGTTTTGTCCTCAGATTACTATGTGCATGTTGCTTTAATTTTTAGACTACTTGTGTTTAAATGGCCCGTGGATAATGCACAGTTAATTAGACACATATAAAATATAAGTATGAGACTAGAATTTCAGTCCATATAACTAACTACTAAAATGTTTTGATAAGTATCAAGATCTGGCTTTTGCCCTGGAATCCTAAGCTGACTTCACTTCCATTTCACTCCTATCTGCCAAGTTCTATATCTCAAATAGGTGTTTTATTCCTCAGTATTATCAATTTAAACTCTGAACAGTTAAATGGGCTACATATATATTTAAAACCTGTATGTGTGTCTATGTATATATGTACATATATGAAAAAATATTTAAAATATAAAATATATGAATATCATATAGGTATGTGAAAGCACAAGAGAGCCTCTTTAAACATTAGCCTTAGCTTAACCACATTCACAGCCACATTACACAAAGAACTGCAAAGTGACAAAAACGCAAGTAGCCTGGTTTAATGCACTCTTTTGAGATAGTCAGTTTTTCTACTCGCCTTGTTTTCAACAGCATCTTAAAAATTATAGCATACTGCATTCATAATAAAACTTGACTTTGTAATTTAAAAAATAAATTATATGTATTTATATTAGCTGCATACATCCATATTGTGTTATTCTAAGGAAGTGATTAGAAGCACTCAAAAGCAAGGGACAAAGGATAACACGTTTGACAGAATAGAATAATTTTTGGTGAACTTTCAGGGCTATCGCCAATGGGCTTTTCTTTTTTAAACAGAGATCTCGAGCAATATATAGAAATAGAGCCTTTAAAATTATTTTAAAAAACAAACACACAAAAAAAACCTTTAAAATATGCCTGGAAGGGCCTTGCCAGCATGCTGAAGTAAGGCTACAGCTCACTTTACATGGAGCGCTGGAAGACTCATTAACAAACAACCCTTTGTTCAGGACCTGACTGCTATTGTGATTTTGTCTCACATCTGTAAATGACGGCAATGGGAGGGAATCAGCTCCCCCGTGGTTTTGTTTTTCCCCCTTTGAATGGCAGTGATGGAGCACTTGCATGATGTGTTTGGTGCCTTGCATGAGGAAGACATGCAAAGGCAAGGTCCAGTCTGCATGCTGCTTAATGAATGTTTTTCCTTTTCTCTCCTTCCTTGTCATGTGCTTTCAGAAGACAACAATGTGGAAGGTGGGTGCTTTCTACCTTATTCTCCAACTCCTTTTTGTTTTTCTTAATTTCAGTATCAATAGAGTACATCTCGAACACAGACGGTAAGTTGACCTTTCTGAACATCCATTGGTTTCTAGTTGTGTATCACTTTGCATATAGAACACTCTCAACCCACTAGTCTCAGGGATGAAAACCTCCTTCAGTCTTATTTCCAGTGCCTGATATATTTCAGCAGCCTGTACGAGCCTTAGAATACTTAATGCTGTGTTCTGTATGGAAAAACGATACAGTCCTTCTTCCTTTGTTTTGAAAAAGAAAGTGTTTTTTTGCAGTTTCCTACAGAGTGCATGAACCTGTTTCTTTCCTTCCTTCCTTTCTTCATTCCTTCCTTCCTTCCTTCCTTCCTTCCTTCCTTCCTTCCTTCCTTCCTTCCTTCCTTTCTTCCTTCCTTTTCTTTTGTAGAGCAAAGTTGGAAATATTTACTATTCTGTCATTTTACCTTCCTTGGATTTTTTTTCAAATGATTTACATTACAAAATAACAGAGAAAACACTGAGATAAGTAAAAGGCATATATTTAGATTGAAATACAAGTCATTAACAGTGGAAATGAAAGCTCACAGCTCTAACATAAGATCATGGGTAAGTATATTTCTAACATTTAGTATGTGTTAAAACTATGATAACTGATTCAAGTATTTTTAGAAAAATCTCAGTCATGGAATTTTGAAGAAGTTTTGTATTTTTGCCAAATATTTCTACAAATATTTCTCAACATTTTATTGTTAAAAAACTTGAGTGAAATAGGCACAATGCTACCAACCAGATCTTGAAAAGATAAACACACAAAAACCATTAGCTGCTGCAGAAGACCAGACAAAGTAAAGTTTTTCATCATTTCATGCACATTTTTAAAAAATGGTCTTTCAGTATAGATCAGACTGTAGAGAGGCTGTCCTCAAACTCATAGACATCCACCTTCCTTTACCTCCTGAGTGGAACCGCACCTGGATAGCTCATGTTATATAATCACAGCATTAATAGTTGCAGGTAATGTGAACATGGGTCAGGCGATGGTATTTAACATCATTTACTTAGCTGCTACCGTTTGAAATGCAGTATTTCTATACAAATAGCTGCATTTCTTCAGATGAAAGATTTCTTGCAAAATGGCTACAGTGAAAGTGACATTACCACAACTGAGGAGACTAAGAAACTATTTTTCTTGGAAAAGAAGACTTCATTTTAATACATTGATCACTAGCAAGGTCAGCATCAAAGTTGTGATGCTGATCAAAGTTGTGACTTTCATGGACAATACTTATTGCTAAACTGTTCTGATATTTAAGCAAAATAGATGGAAACTTCTAAAGAAACCATATATCATTTTCTGCAAATACTGGCTTTGTATATTCTGATTTTTTTTGTTCCATAATTTTAATTGTATGAACATATGCTTATCTTCATTAATTGAATTTGAACGTTGTACAAAATTCTTCTGCATTGTAAACCATTTTGTAAAATATTCATTCCCCCCCATTTTTTTAATCTGTAAGGTGCTTTAAAATCAACCAGTTTAGTATGATAAGATATTCAGAATATAACCCCCTAATCTGTTGTAATAAAGTTATTAAATCATAGTTTTAATGTCTCTGTTTACAATGTGACTTTAAGAATACAGCCAGTCTTCTTTTTAGAGGCAGTAATGTAGCAGGAGGAAAAGAAGTCTTTGCAGATTTTTTTTTTTTTTTTAGTGCAGTGTCAAAGCCACCACATGTGTCCAAGTATCTTTTCTAAAATTTAGGTCTCCATAAAACTTAGATCTTAAGGGAGATAATTTTCTGATTATCTGAAGAAATTAACCTCTTCTTTACCATGTAAAGCACAGAATTAATCACCATATAAAATATTTTATTTGCTTTTATGATTATTTTGTTGAAATTACTCTAGAAATACAAAGAAATACTCTTTGTAGAAACACCACACTTCATTGCTAAACAGTTTCCATATTATGTTGTGATTATGTGATGATTTTTTTCATTTACCTGCCCTACCCAGATAACAGAGTACACTTAAGAGTTTGAAAAAGCAGGTTGAGACAAGCTCACAGTTCCCAAGCTCAAAGTTTCAAATATAGCTGAAGTAGCACTAAAAGTGAAAACCAAATTCTTGAAATATAACCAGGAGTAATAGTTACATTTCTGAATGTAGGCTAAGCAACTGTGATTTATGTTTTTCAGTAAAAAGTACAGTTTTGGGCGACAAGTGAGCTGGCTAAGACAGTCCCAGAGCTGGGAGTGGTGACACCCTTGAGAGCCTGAGACATAAGGACTGTCCTTAAAGTCAGCCTTGGCTATATATTGAGAATGTGCTTCAAAACCAATGTAGTTTTTTTAGAAAAAGAGTGATTTCATGAAAAATACTTGGTGACATTATGTCTGCAGTTATAGCTTAAGTTAATAAAGGAACATGAACACCGATCAACATTTAATTAAAATGGCAAATAATTTGGATTCCCATGAAAAATTAAATGAACTTACTTAAATCTGACCCATTGTTTCTTCAAAATATGATTATGTCATAAGTTCAAGCTTTTCAACTAACCGTCTATCTTGTTTTTGCATTTGAACTTGCTACATGTGTCAGACAAGGGGACATTTTTGCACTGTCATTTCAATGTGACTAAACCCCCACCCATATTTAATTATTAAACTGCTCATTTTTTTTTAGAGAGGAAAAAGATCAGACCCAGCCCATGTTAAAGATATTCCTTTGGGTGTTTATAAAATATAATTTCATCACTGAACAATGACATGTCCTATGAGGCCAATGTTCCAAAAAAAATCTTATCAAAGGGCATGAAGGGCAGATGAACTATTTAACGGACTGGTTGGATTTTAAATCATGCTCTCATACTTTTGACAGTTCTGATACTTAGAATACACAGTGCAGAACATGCTCGTGTTTAAATTACAGTTTTATTATTCTTTGGCCCAAAGTATTCCAACCGAGGGTTGAAAGAATGTTTTTGATTTGCCTCTGTGATGCAGACATGTCTCATAAGAAGCAAAATGTCTGTCACTGAACATTTTTGTCACTGTGACAACCCTGCCTTCCCATGCTCCCTTGTTTATTGCTGACTGTGCTCTTGTTTCCCTTCAAGGTCTGGCGCACCTGATGATGGGCGACCAAGGTATGGGCTCTGCTCCTTTTCCACTCTGCTTTCAGTGTTTTCTTGTTCTGTAGCTGCTTTCAAACCATTGCTGCAAAGTATGGGCGGATGCTTGGAAACGATGTGGCTGCAAGCGAAATCCATAGCTTTTGTTGACATTTTTTTCTTAGTTTTATCTGCTTTCTGTTGGTATGATGTTGGTTCACTCCTGTGACAATCATTTCCCTCCAACCCTTGCACTGTAACATCTGCAAATAAATAAGACGGAAGTAATTGTGGTTGAAATCTTCACTTATCAGAATACACAGGAAGAGTGCTTGCAGTAAAGGAAAGCAGTCAGGAGCTAATGTCTGAAAACACCTCAGTCTAACTTGCTACATCAACTGTCCACTTTTCATCTATGCATGGCAGTTTGGGAACGTGCAGACATCTTTGGCTTTGGCTTCTAGAGTGCTTATTGTAGCATTCCATGCAATCGATACTTTTCTACCTGTGGCCATTGAGATCCTTCTTTTATGTAATCTTTTAACATGAGCATGGGCTTCCAATCCCTTGCATGTACCTGCCTTCAAAACAGGCAGAATTCTCAGAATGTATACACTGCCTTTCCATTTGTATTCAAAACATTGTTTATACTTTCTTGTCTTGTTTAATTTTCAGAGAGCAGTGCACTTACATATAGTCATAATTCTTCTTGTTGTTTTTCTCCTCTTTATTCTCTTTGTCTGGAAATCCTTTCTTCATGGACCCATTTCATCAAATGCATAGGTAAAAGTAAAGGTACTACATTATTTTGTTTCTTAGTATCATCTGTGTAGATTACAGTGTGTCTAAGTTATGCAAATGTATGTAGACCTTTGGTATTGGTAATGGGTACTGGGAGGAAGGTCTGTGTGTTAATGAATATTTATGAACTTAAGGTAAGAAAGAATCCATCAAAATATTTTTGCATTGCCTTCCTATCTCCATGTTTTGCTTTTTAGACTAATTTTTTTTTCATGTCAGTTGCTTACATAATTAGTGTGTTTAGAAATTAGCTATAGGTTGTGGTGTCAGTTCCCACATTATCATTTAATGGTAGTTAAATGATGTATGTACTAACCATAAATGTATCTTCCTCAAATATTCAACTCTGATTGAGCACACCCACCCTGTTTATTGTAACTGATGGAAGCCTCATCACCTCACAGCTCCAGGGTTGTACAACTGTAGGTTCTTCCCTTGCTGCCTGCTAAATGCCATAGAAGCACACTGACAGTATGATGGTTCCAATAGGCAGCACTGTGACGCAGACAGAGAGACAAAGAAAGCTTGCCCTTTCTTTATGCATGTCAACTTTCAGAATGTTAATAGCAGCTACAAATACCAGTGTCACTTGGTACGTCAGGCTTGAGTACTCTGACAATGTAGATTAAAAATCAGAAGAAACATGTTTAAGTCACTATTTAGATCCATCTACATTGGTTTAGTATTGTCATTACTATGTGCTATATACTATGCACTATGAACTACATACTAAGTAAGCGACTCACATTCCTGGCAAATATTTAAAATGGCCTTTGTTGTTTTAAATTGTGTAACAGTTAATATTCTCATGGTCTCTAATCCTACATTATCATCCTTGAAAACAGGAATATGCCCTTTCCTTGAATAAATAAATCTTTCTTATGCGCTAAAAGTTAACATATTAACTAGAATGAGAGTTCACAGTTCTACCTTCTTGCATTTGTATCATCTAGCAGGACACCTGCTTCAAAAAAACCATTTGAACATGAGCCAAAACACTAAGTAAGAAATAACATTTAAGTTTAAATTTGTAAAATAGGCTTTAGAAACACATGTTTGGATTCTGCCAAGTCAGAAGCATGCCTGTCTCAGCTTTGCTTGGATGGCCATTTCCAGAGTCTGTAGTTACTGTGTCAATGGCAGCATCATGACGTCTCTCAAAGATTTTGTGACTTATTGGGGGTATTTCAGAAGCCCATTTGCCTGAGATCAACTTCCCACTGACAGATAACTCCAGTGTGTGTGTTCCAAATGTCCTATGTATTGTTGTTCTGTATGTGGATGCAGGGTTTGAGATCACATGTAAGAAAGTGTGTTTCGATTTCTTGTTAGTAAAATAGTTTGTACCTCTGTATGGATATATTTCTAAGAATGTATAAACATAAATTTTAAGTATATACACTCATCCATTATACTCTGAAAAAGTATCTTTTAATAACTCGAAGTACTTTGTCAATTATATAACTAGTCATATGGAATACTTTATTTTTATATATGTTTGTATCTATTGGGTGTAATTAAGGTGAGTTTGCCGCTTCCGTCTTACTATGTCAGGCTCAAATGTTTCTCTTTGTATGTTTAACAGACCTTTATTTTTCATTTCATGACTTTTTATCAAAATTTGTTCCCTAATGCAAAACTACAGATGAAAAGATTTGATTTTTCTATTTCTTCTTTTAAAAAAGACCATTGGTATCAGATGATTTTCAATATCAGAACAGTTGCTATTACTATTTTAGATACATAAAGATGAAGAAAAGCTTTGTCAGTGAATCAGTGAATTTAACAAATTACTTTCTAGGCAGAAAGAATGTGACTGTCATGGCAGCATAGTAAGCCTGTCAACATACCACATGAATGAGTTAGTATACAGGACAGAACTTAAGAGATCAGCAAAATATATAGAAATTCAACAAAGGTAAGGATAGCATGAATGCAGGTCAGTGTATTTCTGCCTTAAGAGCTTTTGAAATGAACCTCTTCAAACTAATATCTTTTTGTGCCAGTACCCAGAAGCAAAATTGAATTCAAGAACGTCAGTCATAATTGTTGTTTTGATTTTTTCTGTGTGAATTTCTAATATTCACAGAAGCCAGAGCCCAGTTAGCGTTGAATATATTTCATTTAATGAAGGTAATAAATAAAGATGAAGTGAAAAGGAGAACTGTGTGGATAAGTCTCTTCATCCTCCCGATTTCTTCCCCCAGAAGGTAGCACTGGACTCCCTTTCTGATGGACCCTTCCCAAGTGGATGTGGACCCTGACCTCTTCCATCTCATTCTGAGTTTGGAATCTGCAAAATATTTTGCCATTATGGGTATGACAAAAATGGCTAAGGCAGATGAATACACGTTAGGGATTTGACTTGTATGATGGGAGAATCATGATGAGTGAAATAAAATCTTTCTCTTCATGGTGCATTGTACATAGTTTTTTTTTTAGTTTGTTATCGTGTTTGAAACTTTAGATTCAACAACTTAAATTTGTGTCTTATGATTTGTAAATAGAAATGTGTCACTTTTAGTTAAATATAATTAAGAATAAACTCCATTTTAATGAAGGATAGCTTTCTTTTGGAGAGCTCATGCAATGCCCAGAGCAAGTGTAACTGCTCCTGGCTGTATGTGGCTCCAAATATTCTTCAGGGAATAGTTTGTTGTCTTTGCTTTTACATTTCTTCAGTTGACAATTATCAAAGATATTATTTTTAGCATCACTAATAACTCCACTTTATTCTGTTTTCACTTTGAATCTTAACTTAGCAACTTCCCTTGAAATTTAGTATTTTCCTTCTCTCTCTGCATGTGTGTGTTTACGCACCAGTGCACACGCTTGCACATGCATATGGATGTGCAATTTATTCAATATTGTGTGTGTCTTCGTATAATTGTTCATATCATTTCAACATTTGTTTATTTTTTAATTTACTTATTTAGATTTTGCTCTAATAGATTTCTGAGAAAAATGAGTAACTTTAAATCAAGAAATATAGCAGTGAATTATACATGCAAATCCAGCCATAATTGCTGGTCACTGGCTGAGGGGAAGAGGATAATTATTACCTACTTACATGTTGATGCTTTGAAGAAAGTTCTGTATTTTCTTTCACAGCATATAATTGTAATTATGCATTTATATCTTCTGTTCTATTTCATGTTGCCTTTTTCTTAGTAGAGTGGAAGCTCCAAGAGGGCAGGCAATTCATGTTTCTTGTTGACCATTGAATCTCAAGGTCATTTTTTTCTTATTGTATCTTGAATTTGCCATTTTCATTTTTATGCTATTTTCAGTGTATACAGTCTGCCACCTTGGACTATAAGGAGAATGGGTCAAAGTAGATAAAGTAAAAAATAAAAGGGATAAAAAATTTTAGGTAACCAAGAGAAACTAGCAAAATGTTATACAGAATATGTTTGTCTCTTCTCTAAACTTTTGTTTCTCTTTTAACATTCATCCCAAGCTGCTATAAGTCTACCTAGTAATGCATCATACTGACAGAATTTCCATTTGCCGTTGCATACCCAACAGTGGATCGCTAAAGAAAAATAGAATCAAGGTATTTTGGTATTTAGTTCTCATGGTCTTCATACTTAGAAGAACTACAGGTAGCTCATGGTGGCTTGAAAAGAAAAATTCATTTTTCTCTAGGGATGAGCCCCCAGATATGGTTTCAATTTTCTTTGTATTTTTATTTTTATTAATTATAGTTTATTCTCTTTGTATCCCCCATGTTTTCAAATTTTAAATGTCATTTACTGACACAGGGAAAAATAACCAAATTTGATTTTGAAACATTCTATTAATGAGAAAACAGGTATTTTACTTCTGTGAAATTCAGCTCTATAGTATGATTGTCTTTGTAATTTCATCCAGATTTTTCTAATTTCCTTAATTCCAATGAGCCATAAATCGGGAGTATTAAGCTGTTGGAAAAGTCAAATTGAAGTCTTATATAATGATATACATATATTTGGTGTCATATAAATAAAAATCCTACACCATGTATGTAAATAATTTGAATCTATCAAATAAAATTTTATTATTTGATTATGCATGATCCCAGATGTTTACACAAGGCCAAAGTTCTTTTAGTAAAACAATGAAATGTGTTCACATATTTTAAAAATATATTATACCTATAGTATTATTGACATTAGTATTAGTTATCAAATCAGAATCAATCCTAAGTAAAATCAAAACAAAATTTTTCAAAATGAATACCTGATCTCCTTAAA